TGTCCTCCTGATCCTGGTGGCAGCAGGACTTGCCATTGGTCACAGCTTCTGGTACGAGGAAGTCGGGTCCAACGCCTGGTATCTGTATGACGGAAGAGAGGACAGCACCTCCTACAGAGGATTCCTCAGCTTCTGGGGCTACCTCATTGTTCTCAACACCATGGTGCCTATTTCACTCTATGTCAGGTTCGTCAAAAGAATGAATGCCGAACACCTTGAGCCTTGTCGATGTTGGCGATAAGAGGAAGAAAGTTTCATGTCGATATTGGAACCCAAGTTTGCATGTTTTCCCCGTGCCTTTGCTTTCCTCTGACATTCCCCAAAACACGTATTGTTCTCGTTCTAAATTATCCCTCGGTGTGATTTGTAGTATAAGGGATGAGTAAAACGCTTTTGTTTTTCTTTGGGATCTCCATAACCGCCTGCGAATAGGTCTGGAATGCGTCTCGCACGGGGGTTGACTTCATGTCCAAGTTCCAAACGCTGCAGTAAATTCTCGCTGAGCCAAAAGTTAAACAAACCGGTGGCTAAAACCGCTCTTTGGTTGCTCTCTGTTCAGCGTGGAGGTAATCCGTCTCGGCCAGAGTAAGTTCATCAACTGGGACCTGCAGATGTACTATGCAGAGAAAGACACACCAGCAAAGGTACAATTCAACAATCGCAAACATATCGGGACACTGTTTTCTTGCAATAGGTGTAGCCTCAAAGTGACTGAAATTAAGCAAACGTTTGGGATTAGTTTTGCTTTTCTGCGCTTCAGGAGTAACAATCCCCCTCTGATCCAATTCTTGCCAGGCTCGAACCACCACCCTGAATGAGCAGCTTGGACAGATCGAATACATCTTCTCAGACAAGACGGGAACGCTGACACAAAACATCATGCAGTTCAAAAAGTGCACTATCGCCGGGCACAGCTACGGTAACCGTCCGAGTTCGGACGTCTCGCATACGACGCTTTTGTCGTAAAATGTACGTCCCTGACAACGATCGCGACTGGAAATGTTGCCTTATTCGCCGCAGGTGACCCAACCACCGCTGAAGGAGTGCGTCTGGACCGCGGAAAGGTAGTACTGAAAACACGAGTTCTGCTCGTTTTGTTCATGAGACGTCTCGAAATGAATTCAGCCGCACTCGTCACCTCTGCTCTCCTCAAAGCCAGTGGACTGGAGCTGGAATCGCGATGCGGACAAAAAGTTCCAATTCATGGACAATTCCCTTGTTGCCTGTTTGCGGTCCAAGAAGGATAAAGAGGCCATGGACTTCTTCAGACTCCTCTCCCTTTGTCACACTGTCATGGTGGAAAGCAAGGAGGGTAAATGATACCTTGTTTAAACGATTCAAATCGAATGACTAGCTGCGGATTCTGGATCAAATTTGTCACAAGTTTGTTTGCCCCTTTTAGGCGAACTGGTGTACCAAGCGGCGTCACCGGATGAAGGCGCACTCGTGACGGCAGCTCGGAACTTCGGCTTTGTCTTTCTTTCCCGAACGCAGGACACGATCACCATCCGGGAGATGGAACAAGAGAAAACCTACGAGATGTTGGCGCTACTCGACTTCAACTCAGACCGCAAACGCATGTCCATCATCTGTATGAATACTCGCGCAACGCCGCCATTTTGATGTCGTCGCGCAAAGCCGAGCGCTTTGAATCTTCTTCAAATCAATCTCTCGCCTTCTCAGTGAAGTTTCCAGATGGTCGAATCCGTCTCTACTGCAAAGGAGCCGACACGGTCATCTACCAGCGACTTTCACCCAATTCCAAGCACAGGGAGTCGACGCAATCTGCTTTGGATGTGAGTCCGGGCGCCCTTTTGTTTGGCTCAACTCTGATTTGAAGGAATTACATGTATCGTCCGTCTAATATGGAGCGCACGAAAGATGGCGAAACTCTTTTGGGGACTGTGCTCTTTCCCCCCCGCAGAAATTTGCCAACGAGACCTTGCGAACACTGTGCTTGTGCTACAAAGACATCAGCAGCAGCGAGTATGAGGCCTGGTCCAGGAAACACATGGATGCTCAGGTGACCATGGTCAACAGAGAGGCTGCCCTCGATCAAGTGTACGAAATGATTGAGAAAAACCTCATGGTAAGCGGAAAACGCTGCATCTTAGACGGCACGTTATGCAGTCCAACCTCTTTTCAGCGTTTCCCACTTTTTCATTTGCTGACTGAATGTATTCAGAGATGAAGTAGGAACGCGACAGTTTTTTTTTTAACGTCAATAACTGTCTGTGCCTTTCCATGCAGCTGATTGGAGCAACGGCCATCGAAGACAAACTGCAAGAAGGAGTACCAGAAACCATCGCCAAACTGGCCAAGGCTGACATCAAGATCTGGGTTTTGACTGGAGATAAGAAAGGTAGAAAACTCAGTCAGAAGACATCCAAGCGATCAAAGATCATGCACAGATCACACCGCGGAAACGAGAAGGAGAATGTATTCGTTTGTGTGGCAATTCTGTTTTCTCTGTTCTGGTTATTTTTCTTGTCTTCTCGCAGAAACTGCGGAGAACATTGGATTTTCCTGCTCCCTTTTGACGGAAGACATGCACCTTCACTATGGAGAGGACGTCAAGTGAGTTGATGAAATTTCTCGACAAACGCAGGCAAAATGCGAAAACGTCCATTTACTGTGATATTCAAACATGCTTCGGAGGACTTCCTTGCTTTGTACGCCGTAGTATCGGTCGTTGTAGGCCAGTGTCTCGGACTCATTGTCAGGCTGGATTTATCTGTTTGTCACCAGTGAGAAGCTGAGCCTCCGTCAGGCTAAGAGGAGACGTGAGCCTCCGACTGAGAGCCGAGGAAAAAAGAAACCCGCAGAGCCATTTTTCCCTGAACCAGGCAAAAATGCACTCATTATCACTGGAGGATGGCTGGTAAGTTGGGGGGGGCAGGGCTTCTTCCAAGTAAATCAAATTATTACATCATACTGACTTTAGGTCTCAGAAAAGGATGTCATGTGTAATATAAAGACTCATAATTGTTTATAATGGCTGAAGAAGTGTTAGGAACCAAATGACAACATTTTTTTTGCAATATATTCTTATTTTTCCTTTTTTTTTTTTTTTCCTTTCCCCCCAGAACGAGATTCTGTATGAAAAGAAGAAGAAACGCCGCCGTTTGCGTCTTCGTCGTCTGGGAAAGCGACCGCCTCCCACCAACCCTCAGGATGGACAGCCAATGAACGAGTGGGAGAAAGAGATGAGACAGGTTGGGAAGAAAAAAAAAAAATCATCGAAGGCAGTATAGAAATGCTTTGAGTGACGGCAACCGCAAATCTGCTTTCCTTTCCAGATCGACTTTGTGGACATGGCCTGCGAGTGTGAATCAGTGATTTGCTGTCGCGTCACACCGAAGCAGAAAGCGAATGTGGTCAGTTTGGTGAAGAAGTATAAGAAGGCGGTGACGTTGTCCATCGGCGATGGGGCCAACGATGTCAACATGATCAAGAGTATGACTGCCGATATCTGCTACTTCACATTTCACAGTGTACAGGGAACGAGCCTGACTGCAAATGGATTGCCTGTTTGACTCGTTTCACCCAAAAACATGCCACATGACCCCCAAATCACTTTCATGAAACTTCACACAAACGACATCTTCAAAATGTGTACGCCACAAAAAAGATTGCTTTGATCTTCAACTTTCCGCCGTTCCTCCAGCCGCAGACATTGGCGTTGGCATCAGCGGTCAAGAGGGGATGCAGGCTGTGATGTCCAGCGACTTCGCTTTTGCTCAGTTCCGTTATTTGCAACGACTCCTGCTCGTGCACGGGCGCTGGTCTTACATCAGAATGTGCAAGTTTCTTCGCTTCTTCTTCTTCAAGAACTTTGCCTTCACATTGGTCCATTTCTGGTACTCTTTCTTCAGCGGATACTCGGCACAGGTCAGCATCTTGTCTTCCCGACGCGATCATTGAAAGTGATGCCATCGCAGGCCCTGCATGACGTTTTTTTCGTTTTGTAGGTGGCCTATGAGGACTGGTTCATCACGCTCTACAATCTTTTTTACAGCAGCTTACCTGTTCTTCTCGTTGGACTGCTTGACCAGGTAACAACAAATTACAAAAGATCAGCTCAGATGTTGTGATGAGATCTGAAGGTTGAACTCTATCTTTCTATAAATTGTGTTTTAGCTCTGAAATGAAAAGTTTACTCATTTAAGCCACCGAGCGGTACAGTTTGAAACAATACACCAATTTCCACCCTGGGGTGTGTAAGCAATGTAAATACAGTAGACTGACGTCATATTAGCGTGACTCGGTGTAACGCATGAATAGAAGGCGTCTGACTGTACTGCGTGCGTTCCTCCCATCACCATTCCTGTTGACGCACGAAAGAGAAATTTTTTTCTTCACCAAGTCAATACACTCGAGTGTCTAACTTTCAGGTCAGAGGTTCTCAATTTATGAGACCAACTGAACAGCTCCCGTTTGTGCGGCTGAATGGGAAATCAATCTGGAGATCTTCAAGTGATTCTCTCCCATTTACATCTGCTGCAGGACGTGAATGACAGACTGAGCCTCAAATTTCCCAAGCTATATCTGCCGGGTCAGCAGGGGCTGCTGTTCAACTACAAGAACTTCTTCATCAGCTTGTTCCATGGCATCTTCGTCTCCCTCATTATCTTCTTCATTCCTTACGGGGCATTCCTGCAAACAATGGGGCAAGATGGAGAAGCCCCCTCGGATTACCAGTCTTTCGCCGTTGTCACCGCCTCCTCGCTGATTTTCACTGTCAACCTTCAGGTGAGTCGCTCGCAAATTGTTGGGCAAGACTGACTTTGATATCGTCGTTTATATGTACTGGCCGTTTCATTGTCCGTAAGCACGATGTCGTGATATGACAAGAGTTGGACTTATTCATTCTCGCTGCTTTTAGATCTCCCTGGATACCTCCTACTGGACCTTTGTCAACTGTTTTGCCGTTTTGGGAAGCATAGCCATCTACTTCGGCATTATGTTTGACCTGCACAGTGCTGGAATTCACGTCATCTTTCCACGCCATTTTACCTTCACAGGTCAGTGGGTCATTTAGCACCTTCCTTCTCTTAACTGTCAGTCCTCAGTTCAGTGTAAAAAAAAAAAAAACATACAATCTTGTACCATGCAAAGTAGCTCATATGCAAAGGCGCTCACACTCAACTGTCTTTCATCACTAACCACGTGACCGCTGTTGCTTTTCTGATAGGGGCAGCAGCAAATGCTCTCCGCCAGCCTTACTTGTGGTTAACCATCATCCTCACGGTGGGAATCAGCCTACTGCCTGTCATCTGCATCCAGTTCCTCCATAAAATCATCTTTCCTTCCATAGGAGACAAGGTAAGGTCACTGAAGGTCAAGCTTGCAGGCCCTACCCAGTCTCAGGCCTCGTATGTGAAAACTTGACAGACTGGTTTGACCAATCAGAGTCATGTCTGAGCTGTAGTTGTATAACACCCCCCCCCCCCATCTCTCCCAAGATCCAGAGAAACAGGAAGAGGTATGAATTGGAAATGCAACAGGAGGCGAGGAAAAGAGCACCAGCGTTCCAACGCGGCCTGCGTTCCCGCCGCTCTGGATACGCCTTCTCCCATTCCAGAGGCTTTGCAGAACTCATTGCTTCTGGCCGGAGCATTCGGAGGCGCCCACTGTCCCGGATTGGACACCACAGCAGCATCAGGGAGGTTTCCGAAAGAGCTGAGAACATTTGATGGTTGGAGAACTGGAGACTGGTGAACTGACACTGTGGTCGGATTCCCTGTTTTGGAAACACCAACTCAAGGGGACCAATCAGCTGAGGTGCTCAAGATTGGTAACTCGGCAGAGAAATGACGTTATCAAAGTTGAGGGATATTTTCAAATCATGGTTGAAGTGCTTTTGAAAGTGACAGAAGAACTGAGGCACTTGTTTATCCGTCTATGCAAAGACTCGATTATGCAAAACCAAAGAGAAACTGACATTTTTGGTCATGCGCCGTGGCTCATGATGTCATTTATTTAACTCAGGGTTTTTAATATAAAACAAACAAAAAAAGCTTTATTTTTTAAAAGGCTAGTTGACCCCACCAAGGCCAACTTTCCCTCCTCTCCACACCACTGCAACTTGCATCATGTGTGGCTTCAGGTCCATCGTGCACTTGAAATTAATATTTTCTATTGTATTTTATCGCTGTCATTTCTAATTACATTGATCCATCCTTTTTTTTTTCCAGTCGAAATTCAAAACAGATCCCCTTTTCTTTTAAACACACTTTTAAAGTTTTATTTTGAATAAAGGAGGGATGTTACGATGTCAGCGTATGCGAAGCGGCTTGCGGTAAAGTGTGTCATTAAATATAAAAGGTGAAGTGAATATTGTTTCCCCTCTCCTGAATCAGGTGGCCAAAGACAGCTTATTGCAGTGACTTATTTTGTCAATTCAATTTTGTTTCAACCAAAATCTTTCAATACCGTTTTTATCCCAAATTGTTTGCCTTAAAAAAAAAATCCCTCACCCAATCCTGACGATAAATTATCTTGATCATCTTTCCTTGTTTCATTTTTTTCCCAGCTTTTACATCTTTGTATCCGTATGCATGTAAATATACAAATATTTGTTTACATCAAAATGTCATTTCGTTCACCCGACAATTTATTTATCAGTCTGCCACACACTTTTAAGACAAAACACAGACTTTGTTGTTCTTTCCTTCTATTCAGATGCGTTTTTATGACTAGAATAGAGGCAGTGGACCCAGAAATGTTCATGTGGTTGTTGGGTGGAGTTGATGACATTTTATCATAGCGTTGTTAATAAAAGCCAAGGGTATATGTATCAATGTGAAACAATCTCTCTCTTTTTTTTTTTCCTCAGCTCATTGCGTGTGCAAAATGTATTTGTTTGTATTCCACTTCATTTGTTCGCAGGGCAGTTGAAGTCTCCACAACCTGAACGGATCAATCACAGGAATGACGCATCTACGTTGTGGAGGTAATTATCCACACCCTCACACGTGCTTATTTCCAATTTAGTCGCTTTTAGTTTTTGTATTTTGGTTTGGCAGTTCAAATTAGAGCCTCTGGGAGTCACTGCAAGACAATGACGACGGCACGACGTATGAATGAAGTGATAACATCAAAACAAGCAGTGTGAGAGCATGATTAAATCATGATGTGTGCTGATAAACCTAAACCCGAAAAAAATATTGCTCCCTCTCACAAGTGCGCTTGAGGTCTCAGCCCACAAGCTCCTAATTTATCGCGTAATGAGTCAAATTTATTTTGGATCGGTTTCGGTTTGCGCACTGGTTATGAAGTAGGCTACATTTCACACCTCCAGGGGGAGCTCAAGCACAACTGAATATTTGGGACACTGATGATCACCATCACTGTTCATGAAAATTGAATTGACTTTGGCAGGCAACAAAATCATCATATAACAACAAAAATGTTATCTTTTTCCAGGATGTGAATCAGAATACGAAGATAAAACTGAAGTGAATATTGAAATGTCCTCATGTGCATAAACAACAGCCTGAGGTGAACAGTCACTTCCATTGCTGCTCGACGCTGATATGAATTTATTCTCACATAATTCACACTCATAATGTTTTTTTTTTCCTTGCAAAGATTTTACTTTAATAGCATGACATCTAAACTCATGACATTACACTCGAGCTGGATGTTGAAAGTTTCAAATGCATTTCATCATTGAACTGTATTCCAGCCCAAACACGGTTTCCAGCACGTTCAATTCTTTTAGTTCTGTTTTTGGCTCCTCTTTCTCAACCGCTCTGTCAAATCTGCTCCGGTACCACATCGGAGGCCTCCAGGCCTATGTCGATAATGCTCTCCATATTTACAGTTCCAGGAGGATTAAGGGGTTGTGACGAGATCTCATTTGTGTGAACCTATTAGTGCCTAGTGCCCCAGGCTCCCTCTGATTCGCTTCTGAGATTAGGTAAAGGTATTATAGTAAGAGGATCGGCTCGCCGCGAGCTGAGGGTCTCATCTATACAGTACGGGTGGAACGAGAGGAACACACACAAAGACGACATGGACGTGCTCTCGCGGTTTGGTCCATGGTGCTTTCACTATGAAGGAGGAGACTTTTTAAAATGAAGAATCAACACAGAGTATGACCGTCTGTGTCCATTGGGCCAATTATTTGTCTCTTATCTTACGATGTGTAGGTATGATGTTCCGATTAAATTTGGTGGGAATACACCATTATATAACCTGATCCAAATATCTTCAAAATTATTATTATTATTTTGCAGTGCCAAACAAGGTCTGATTTGATATTTTTTTTAATTTGCAATTTTAACATGGATGAAGTTGTGTTCAAAACGGTGGCATAGAGTTGTGGAAAATTCCTGCTGGAGTCAGTTATTTGTGACCTTTAACCCTTGGACCTGAAGTGCTCTGTGGGTTAGTTTGAATCTGTTCTGGTAACCGCTGTTTTATTTGATTTGAAATTTGGCGGTGATTTGAAGTTAACACCGAAAATGCCGTTTACTCCGCAAAGTCTCTTCTCACTGTGAAATGAGCAGGAAAGTCACGTGGCCGCGCACCCCTCCTCCAGCAGAAGGCGGATGAGTGCCATGTCATAATTTATGACTTAAAAAGCATACATTTTTCAACACGCAGTGGCGGGGATGGCACTTCATGTTTATGACAATCATTTCCTTGGTGAATGATTCATGGAGATGTGGCACTTATGAATCTTTCAAAGAACAAACAGAAACACCGACTCTCAGTGCTTTGAACGCTCCGGCTGCTTGGGAGGCTGCTGTAGCAAAAGCTCACTGTGAGGGGAAAAGAGAACGTGGCCAAAGAAAGTGTGTGGATCACAATCAAGTGTACTCGTTGAGTTATTTCCGTACGCGACTGTATATTGAGAATGTGTCCAAAGACGTTTACATTTTCAATGAGCAATGGAAGCATTAAAGCCCCTTCAAAAAAAAGACACAATGATTTTTTTTTCCATAGCTAACACTTTAAAAAGTGATTCCAACATCACCTCCACTTATAGAAGTAGGTGAAAGATTTCATAGTCTGCACTCCTGCCACCTCCGAAAAGTGTCTGCTAGAACTTTACAGCAAAGTTGTGAGTGAAAAGATAAAATATGCGTTGCATAGGGATGATGTGATGATGTTGGGAAGAATCAGTTTGTCTTTTCTTGGAGCAGCTTGCAAGCTGGAACATGCCGGAAATCCCACCATCCATTTTTGACACCTCTTGTAGACTCATTAAGGGTAAATGGAGCTTGTTTCCTGACTTTGGCCAAGTGTCTTCAGTGAGCCTAACGGGCATGTTTTGGAAACATATTACAGGATTCGAATTGATGTTGTTTTGACAGCTAATAGCTTCCAGTTAATGGACCATTTCAAGAAATTCAAATATGACTGTAAATGAGAAGCAAAAAGATTGAAATGTTTTTTTTTTTTTTATAGACATCACAGTCAAATGAGAAGCAAAAAGATTGAAATGTTTTTTTTTTATAGACATCACAGTAGGAATTAGCTTTCGGAAATGCAGTTCCTATGTGTTGATTGTATGTAACCACTGAATCGATCGATCTATCTATCTCTATATATATATTATGTAACCACTGAATCGATCGATCTATCTATCTCTCTCTATATATAAGAATAAGAAAACCTTTATTCGTCTCACAATGGAGAAATTCCCAATTTACAGCAGCAAAGTTATGAAAGGAAGAAAGTAGAAGAACAAAAAGTATAGGAGCTGCTGCAAAGGGAGCCACTCTCGCGGCGCCATCTTGAAGTCAGAATAACATAACACGAGTATGGTGCTTTGTATACTATTTTACAAGGTATTTTGCTGTGCCGTTTGGGGTGGGGGGTGGGCGGTCATTTGTGTAAACTGCAGCTCGAATGGCCACTAGATGCTGCTGTGCATTAAACCCACTGGAAGCGGAATTTAGGGGATTTGGCATTTTAACTGGAATCGGTCAATTCGAATGGGACACGTGTGTCATACGGAATGCCAATGTCATGTAAATCAGCCGCCGGTGTGGGCATTTGAACAACATTTCAACTGTCGTCCTCCATGATAGGATCTTCTTGAAAGCAGAGGAGTAAACATGGCTGACAAAGAAGTGCGTTCATATTGGCTCGTATCGGAATACTGGAGAGACCACTCCGACGGCGACAGCAACAGTCACCGTGGGCTCCTCTGCACAGTGGAACCGTGCCCTCCTTTAAAAATCACATTTATCTATTGCCTGGAAGCTGCAGTCGCTTGGTGGGGATCTTTCATCTTCCCTGTGTAGTGCCCTTCAGAGGGCCCTACTTGCTGTTTGGATTTTAGCCAAGGTTACTATAGAAACACAGAGGGAGAACTGCTGAGGGCTGGCTCACGGTAATGAAAACGGGCCTTCGAAGGCCTACAAAATCTCCACAAAACGACACCGCTCAAAATGAACAGCAGAGAGACCGATGCTATTTTCAATTGATCCCGGAAAGACTCGCTTTTAAAGGGCAAACAATTATAAGCAAAGACCAAATTCGCTGACTCAATTAGAAATGATCCATTTTTAAGAACACTGAAAAGAGGTCATTTCTATTTTTCATTTTATTTTTTTTTTGTATTTCTTTGCCATTTCATCTCAAAAAGCGGACGACGTCCGGGTTTGTGCCAGATGTGGTCATGTGACTTGATCCAATCGCAGGCTGACAACACAGCTTTTCTGAATGCGCGCGTTTGTAAGCGAGTGCCACAGGAGGTGCATTATTCTCTTTGAGGTGAATTTGATATTCAGGGAAGACACCTGCACAGATCAGAACGGGAAAAATGTAAATTGCTTTGACTGCCAGTGTATGGAAGCGATACGCCAAGGCACAAGTGTACGAATGAATGAACTGAAGTGGTGATCAAATGCATCAAATGAGTGGATGTTCCACGTGAAGTTAACTCCGTCGTACATACATGTTAAATTCATTCACATTAAAAAGAGAGATCAGTGAAACATGGAAAAAAAAAAAAACTACATTAGGGGCTGGATCATAATTTAGAACCAATTTTATTTACATATGTACAGTATGTAGTTATGTACTGTATTTATTTTTACATATTTCATACCTAACAGTCCTTTTTTAATTCTGTATGAACCGTGTAAAAGCTCATGTGTACTTTATTTTGAAATGGGACATCATTAAAATACAATTTTTGAATCGGTCCAGTTATTGTCGCCTCAACACAGCCCATCACATGATAATGATACTTAAGCCATTGTGTTTATCCAGTAATAATTATAAACGTCTTAAATAAAGCCTCATTTTGACTATTATAAATATCTTTGTTTCTTCCCTTGAGGTTTATTTTTTTTATTCTCTTTTGAAGTGTTTTTATTTATTTTTTTAATACAGTGCAGTTGCTTGATTATGATTAAACGCGCGAGCATTTTGTTCCATTTACCTGTATAGTTAGCGCTCATTTTAGCAAGCGGGGGCCCGTTGGGAGTTGAATGCTCACCCAGGCAGTGCGAGTGCCTCGGCATTTACGATTATTTGCATTATCAAAAAAAAAAAAAAAGGTTTAGAAACAAAGAAGAGGTCAGACTCGAATGGATACATCAAATTGACACGGGATCATTATGTAAATTTGAACCTCAAAGGGCCACTTCCACTTGGAGTGATTTTTTTTTTTTTTAATGCACACACACACGTGTGCGACACCGAGGACGATTTTAACAAGACCCAGCTCGCTGACCTCAGTTTCATCATGTCCTTGGCATGAAGTGCATCATGGGCGTCGACGCTCATTCTGTAGCCCCGGATCAAATTAAACTATTAATAGAGTGGCCATTTTATT